TAGTTTCGAGAGAACACTCGTTTTCTCTATACTGGGTTGATAAAGTCATTGGCCAATGCACGTGATTATATTTGAAATAGTGTTCAAATATAATTGATAAAATCAACCAGTAATTTGAGATAAAATGATTAAGCTATTTAGACAGACACACGTTCAAATCCTAAACTTAATCGAGTGGTTCGTGAATGAAGGGACCGTATCACTATTGAGTTCTACAATAAAGGTTTGTTTGCTTGTCGATGTAAACGTACTTCATATTTTGAGGTCGTCCTTCGACGCAGTCTAGGAGTTTCGTAAGGATCATAAATTAGATTTATGTCAATATATGAAGGCCGATAGGGTCACACAATATGCAATCAGTTTTCCGACTAAGAGTGAATCGAGAGTGTTAAATATTCAATTAGATTGGAATATTTATTTATGAGTAATGAGATTATTTTCTATTTGATAGAAAATATTTAATTAAGTTAATTAGATTTATACTTAATTAATAATGAGATAATTTTCTATTTGATAGAAAATATTTAATTAAGTTAAATTAGATTTATATTTAATTAAATTATTAATTGAATTAGGTCCAATTACCTATTGGGCTATAGGGTTTCCTAAGGCCCATATGATTAGGTTTAACCTAATTATAAATACTTCATTATCTCATTGTAGTCTTCTAATCGTTGGAACGATGAAAAGAGAGATCAAGATCAAAACACGCTCTAGCTTTTCGGATCGAGAATTCCTAACTTCTTCACCGGAAGGGATTCATTGGCGTTAGAACGTGCATCGAGAAACTGGATTGCGTGGATACCATAGTCGAGGACAAGACGAATAACTGTAAGTTTTCGTGTATCATTCACGTGATCTAGGATCATATCTAATAGCTATAGCATGATCTTCCTTGTTGGTAAGAAAAATTTTAAATTCCGCTGCGCGTACGCTAGGTTCGTACGTCGAAAATCCAACACGTTTTAGTGTCGACCGGTCCATTTTATCGTATTTTATGCATTTTTATTCTTTTCATGTGTTTTTGTATTTTATGTAGGTCCATATTGTAAGATAGGGAATCCGAACCATGATCCGAACCAATCGAGCTGTCCGAGCCATTTTATCGAGCTATCCGAGCACCCGAGAAGCCAATAGAGGACACAAGACTCGCAGCGAAATCCCTTTTGCGCCGAGCGAACCAAAATGAGCTTGGGAGAGCCTTGGCACTCTCTGCGAACTCGCTTTCGCGAGCGAACGGTGCACCATGCACCAAGCTCCCTTAGCACTCTCTGCGAAAGCCGTTTCGTGACCGGCGAAAAGCACACCAGCAGCTCCAAGTGCCACTCGCTGCAAACTTTCTTTCGCGACCCGCGAAACGCGTGCCCCAACAACCCATCTCCCTACACTCGCAGCGAACTTGTGTTCGCGACCCGCGAAAGCGGCCGTGAAGACCATTTTCACTCCAACTCGCTGCAAACGTCCGTTGGCGACCCGCGAACGCCATTCCTGCACTATTTCATGCCCAAACTCGCTGCGAACCCGTTTCGAGACCCGCGAACTGCAGAATTTTCACTAAATGTGTGTGTTTGTGGTGTATTTTTAAATAGGCTTGTTGCTTTGTATTTTGAAACAATTCCTCATTTGCTAAAATTTTCTTTTTAGTTTTTTTTTATCTCTTCTCTCTAGTTTTCTTTATCTCTTTAAGGGTTCCAAGACCCTATCTTCTCTCTCTTCACACATATGCTCCAATTCTAACAATCTAATACATTCTCAATATAAGCAAATCATAATCACATTCACATAACAAAAAACACTTTCATAATCCAAGTTAAACAAGATAATTCCACAACTCCATTCTCAACAAATTTCCATGATCATACAAAAAGCGAATAACAACTTACACGAAAACCATACGATCACACTGCCTCTCGACCAACCGGACAATCGAACTCTCCATCGACGTGTTACAAATCCATGCTCTTTTGAAAGCCAATGGCCCCGTTTGATCCTCCCCTCCGAGCTGAAGGAGAAAAATACAGAGGAAATTAATTGATTTCTTAGAAATCCCCATTCATCTCCTTCAAGAAACACTCCAATTTAAGGCAATTAATCATTGTCCACCGCTGAAGGTCAATAGTCGGTGTGACCTCAGCACCGTGTGTGCTGACGTCACACTATTCGAACCCTAACCCGACAAAAAACTCAGTCTCTGGTATCGGCGAGGACTCTGCATTTGAGATGTCTGTCAATTTGGGCCGAAGAAGCCTAATTCGGCCCGGAACTCCAATGTGGGCCTCAAACGAGTATTCTAGGGCACACGAATAACCGATTTTCGGGCTTCGGAGAAAATGGAATATTGGGTTAACGCCGGTGTAGGGGTCAGCGGTGAGAAGCTGAGGATAGATGTCGAGAATCCGGCGGGCGGCGGCGAGGTCGATGCCCATCGAAGAGAGACATTGCGTGATGGTGGAGATTGGGGCTGAACGGAAATTAGGGTTTCTGCAGAGTGCTTTGGTGGGGTTAGCTTTGATGGATTCGAGGTAGAGGAGCTTTTCCCCGAATTTGACGCCGGAGCCGGCGGTGGTGGCCGGAGTAGTGGATTTTCTAATTTTTCTTTTATATTGAAATATTAAAATAATAAATATTTACTCCTTTCACTTTGTGGGCTTAATACTAGAGCTTCTTATTAGGTACTTGATGAAGAAAGCTTGGATCTGCCAAATCCATACCTTCAAGAGCCCAATGGTCCAAATTGTTAAAAGGTCTTCCAAACAAAACTATACGGGCTTGTGACTTGTAATCACTAATGGGCCATCACAGGTCTCAGAAAGAATCAATTAGTAGCCCACAGTAGGATTTTTTGGTTACATGGTAGTCCAAGAAAATAAAATGGGCTGAGGACGATAAAATTGTGAACCCAATGTTTCAGAAACTTGTTCGACCCGGGACCGGTCCGAATGGACCGGATAATGTAGACGTGTAACAAGTGTTAAGAAGTGTGAAGATAAACAAATATTAATGTGGTTGTATATGAAAATATTAATCTTTTCTACTTAATCCATACTCAAAATTTAACTCAACATTAATTCGACTATATTATTATCAATATAATTAAATAATATCAAATATCTCATTCTTACAAGTCACCTCAACTTCAATTTACGATTCATCCTCTAATAACAATTTTAACTACCATCAATTCACACCATATTTCTTTTACTTTTGCGTTTTAATTATTTTATTTTAAATATTATTTTGACATAAATGAAAATATTACAAAAAACTAATTTTACTATTTTTTTCAAAATTATAATTAAAAAAAAAAAAACTCTTATACAAACCCGCTCTAAATAATATGGTCCTTTTATGTGTTTTATTTAATAAGATAAAAGTTGATGAGAGCGTGGGTTCGAAACTCAAGAAAACACATATGGTGTTGCACTGTAACTAAGCCCAAATTGGCCAATTAATTACATTGACTTGACCCATCAATGTCATGAATCTGATTTTTGTTATTATTTTATTTTGGTACAGAAATTTTTATTATAAAAAGGAAATTTAGTGGAAGAATTAATGATTTTATAATTGAAGAAAAACTAATTTTAATACAATCGCCAAAAATTTAAAATAATTTGAGATTTATAAATATGAATTGAGAATAGTGGATTTTATAGAGAAATTTGCACGATTTATAATTTATTTTAATTTAAAACTTATATTTGAAAAAAATAAGACGGATGAATGGATATTAATTTTTTTAAATAATTTTTATCTTTTATTATTGTAGAAGTTGCATAAGAATTGGTGTTTGCGTATTTTTCTTTACTTGTTCGGACAGCTTTTAATACCACTTTTAATGTTAACGATTTTGAAGATTTGAACACAACTCCCTATGTTTTTTTTTTCCTTTTTTTTAAAAAGGAGATCAATACTGGTTTCCGAATTCTTCCGAGTGACTCGAACTTAAGACATGGTACACGTCGAGCGAAAGTACGCGCCACTGCGCCAACCCCTATTCGTGTACACAACTCCCTAAGTTCAACAGCTTTCTATGCACGATAATAAATGCATAGCTTCCAAATTCTCCATTCTATTTTCACCATTTAAAATAAATTAGAGAAAATTATTATAATTATAATTCAATTAATTAGTGACAGCATGACATAAAAAAAAAAGTAAAATAAATAGAAACACATAGTATCAATTTTTCATTAATAATTCGAAATTGAACTTACAACTTTTAATACTACCACACAAAATATTAAATATTTTTTTTTAAATTTAAAAAGCGGGTGGTAATAAATCCACCTCAGCCACCATATTTCCATTTAATTAAACCTCTCCCACACACAATTTTTTTAATAATAAAAATAAAACCAAAAGTAAAATAAAAAAGACTCTAAAAGGACCATTTAAA